TGCGCGGCCTCCGGCTCCGCCATGCCGGGCCCGGCGTGCGCTCCGCGCTCACTGCGCCTGCGCGCCGAGCACGCCGGGATCGGTAGTCCGTTGCGGGGAGCCGGGTGGGTCCGGTGATACCGGGGCCGGTTCAGGCCTCCCGCAGCCCCGGGAGGGAGCGGAGCTCCCTCCCGGGGCTGCGGGAGACCTGAGCCGGCCAGGGAGGATGGAGGTCCGGACCTGACGGGGACCAACCACCCCGAGACCCCCTCCCGAGGCGGTGCCGGCGGCGCGGACCCATCACTGCCCGGTGGTGTCCCCGCTCCGGTAACCGGTACCGTGCCCGGTTCGACGGTGCTTGGCGCTACACGGCGCGTTCCGCGCCCAGCACCCTCCTCCAAATATGGAGCGCGGACCCGCCTTCTCCGCCAAATGTGGGGTGAGGCCTCGCCCCTCCACCTCCCGCGCCCCGCCTCCTCCCTGTAAACACGGGGAGTGTGCGGCCACGCCGCTGCGCCCCGCCTCCTCCACCCAATATGGAGTGTGGCCCCGCCCCGCCCCTACATATAAAGTGGACCGCCCCCGCCTGCCCATTTATGGGAGTCCCCGCCCGTTTCAGTCTCACGCGGCGGAGGGGGCGTGGCTTGGCGGCAGGCTGGGTAGCGAAGGAGCGGGCAGCGCCTGGAAAGTGCCAGCAACGGGCGGGGGGGGGGCACGGTAACGGGGGATGATGTCACGGCACGGGTGATGCTGTCACGACACGGCTCGTGGCCGAGCGGGCATCGCACGGGAGCGTCCCAGCACCATCCCGAAGATTCGGGTGCCCGAGGGCTGCCCTGGGGGATGCTCAGGGCCGCTCCCCGGCGGTGCTCAGCGTTGTGCATGTGCTGGAGCGCTTCAACCAACCTCCCTGCAAAGGCAGGACTGGGGAGAGGTGCCAGGGACGTGCCCTGTGCCAGCACAGCCCAGCTCCCTGGGCTGCCGTCCTGCTGCGTGGGCACAGCCGGAAGCGTCACAAAGCACGGGGCCAGGCAAGACCAGCAAACACAGACACTGCACAAATAAAAGTCAGGAATATTTATTACATATCAAAAAAAGCTACATGTTTTGGGCAGAGACCCCCCCACCGGGCCGTCACGCAGTCCCCAGTGCGGTCCCGCTCTGTGGCCAGCAGCTGCCCCGGCAGCCGGGCTCAGCCCAGCCCCACGCCGCTCCCCATCACGCCTTGGCACGCTCGGCTCCGTCGTCGGTGCTGGCTGCCAGCTGTGCCACTGCTGGCCCCATCTGGATGGGCACATTCCTCTCCGGAGCAGCCGGCAGGGCCAGCCTGGGGGCTTCGATGCGGAGCTGCCCTTCCTTGGACAGGGAGCATGTCAGCGCCTCGGCATCCACCTCTTCGGGCACGTCCCACTCCCGCTTCAGCACCTCGTACTTGTAGGAGAAGGAGCCCTTCTCGTCCGTGCTCTGCGTCTCCTTCTGCCCCACCAGCACCACCTTCCTGCCCACCACCTTCACCGACAGCTGCTCGGGCGCAAAGTCCTTCACGTCCTGGCAGACGGAGAAGCCTTCCCCGGAGCCCTGGGTCAGGGCTGCGCTGGTGCTCGGGGCTCGCTCCGCGGCAATGCCGATCCGGCTGGGGCTGCTCCCGCTGCTCAGGAACTGCTCGAAGCTGCTCATGAACTCCCGAGCTCTCTCCATCTCCAGCCGCAGCTCTCGCTCCAGCTCGGCGAAGAGGGTGCTTGGATGCGGCCAGAGGGTGCGGACAGGTCCCAGCCACGGGAACAGCGAGCTGGACGCAGGCGGCATGAAGTGCAGGCGGCAAAGCATCTCTGCTCCTGGTGTGTGCTCCCGGCGTGTGCTGCGGCTCGGCTCTGTGCAAGAGGCTGGAGCAGTGCTGGGCTGGGGCTGGGGAGCGGAGGGTTTTATCCTCCTCTGCCCAGGGGTGTGCCCCTTCCAGAACGCTCTCTCCCCACGCACCTTCCTAGAGCCATCGCCTATTTTTGAGAGGCTGATTATCTGCCAGCCAAAATAGCAGCGCCTGCTTCTGGGGACGAGTCACACGCCACAAATAGGGAGCTGCAGTCACCGCTGGGAGCTCGGGTTTCTGCAGAGCCACCGTGATGCAGCAACGCCTGCAGGACCACTGGCTGGGGGGGCGAGCAAAGCCCTTCCCACGGCCCCTGCACTGGGGGGCTCGGCAGAGCATAGGTTACACTGTGCCGGGACCGCGTCACTTTGGCTGGCACAGGCACAGTCCCACCCCTAAAGCAACGCGTCCCTACGTCACCTGCTGCCAGAAGCCTCTCGCACTTTCTAGGCCCCCTCCCTCCCCGGGGGCCACCCGCCGTCCTGTCCCGGCCCCTCAGCACCCCGCCTGTGCACTTCGCCTGGGGAGGGGGCCCATGGGCTGGTTTCTGCTCTCACCCTGATGTCCCCCGCGGGCAGCTGAGGGTCCTGCAAATGGGGTGGGAGGCAGAGAGGCTCTCCTGCCTGCAGGTTGGGGGGGGGGACACAGACAAGGGGGGGAAGGCAGGGAGGAGAGGAGCCCAGCCCTGCTCCCTGCCTGGGAAGTAGAAAGGCCACAGATTTTTGGCAGGGGCAGCTCAGGCATCCCGCTCAGAGGCTGAGGTGATGCTGCTAATTATAAGCCAGGAGAGCAGAGCTGCAAGACTAAGGGCGAAGGTATGCTGGGCACGACGTAAGAGGTGCCTCACCTCATGAGTGAGTAACAAGAATGAGCTGGAACAGGCTGGAAAGAGCTGAGCTCTTCTCCCAAGGATGACGTGATGTGCAGGTTGAGGCCACTCCTCCCAGGAACAGGAATAAAAGCCACGGGCAGCAGAGCCGGGGCAGAGCGCTCCCAGCCTGAGAGCCACCAGCAGCAGCAGCACCAGCAACAACAGCAGCAGCAGCAACAGCAGCAGCGATGCTTTGCCGAATGCATCTCGCACCATTCGCCTCCAGCTCCCTGGCCTCCCGGCTGGGCACAGTGAGGACCCTCTGGCCGCACGCTGAGACCATCTTCACTGAGCTGCAGCAGGAGATGGAGAAAGCTCGGGAATTCATGAGCAGCTTCGAGCAGCTCCTGAGCAGCCACGGAGCCACTGCCTTGGAGCGAGCCCCGAGCACCAGCGCAGCCCTGACCCAGGGCTCCGGGGAAGGCTTCTCCGTCTGCCAGGACGTGAAGAACTTTGCACCGGAGCAGCTGTCGGTGAAGGTGGTGGGCAGGAAGGTGGTGCTGGTGGGGCAGAAGGAGACGCAGAACGTCGATGAGAAGGGCTCCTTCTCCTACAAGTACGAGGTGCTGAAGCGCGAGTGGGACGTGCCCGAAGAGGTGGATGCCGAGGCGCTGACATGCTCCCTGTCCAAGGAAGGGCAGCTCCGCATCGAAGCCCCCAGGCTGGCCCTGCCGGCTGCTCCAGAGAGGAACGTGCCCATCCAGGTCAGCCCTGCAGCCCCACAGCCTGGACCAGCCTCCGAGGATGGAGCCACCAACAAAGCCCAGGTGTAATGGGAGGGGAACAGATGGCCCGCGGCAGGACCGGAGCAGACAGCAGCAAGTCTCGGGTTTTAGCCCAGACAAGCTCCATCAGCAATGATGTCATTTTTTTCACTATACTGGAATGTTTTTGTATCCAATAAAAATACTTTTGCACAGAACCTGCTTGTGCTCTCTTGGTGTTGATTGATGGGGTGGCTGGGCTCTGGTCTCAGCTCTTGATGCCAGAGGAGCTGGACGCACAGAGGAAGAACTTTTCTTGGTGCCTCAGGGCAGCACAAAATGGGGCCAACAGTGGACCCAAAGGGAGGAAAGGGATGGGATCTATGAGCATGGTGCTGCTCAGGGTGGGGGGAGGCAGGAAGGGCCCCAGCAGGGAAGGGCAGCCCCACTCACCTGTACCTGAGCAGAGGCAGCTCTCCCAGGGAGCAGGCAGGTTGCCTTCACTCCCTCCTCATGCTACTGCCAGCATCTCAACCAGCTCCACAGCCCCTCCCTCCCCAGCCAATGCCACTGAATGGCAAGACCACCATGCTGGATGGTCTGGCTAGGTGTAGGGTGCCCCTGTTGTAGCCACTCTTTTCTCCCCACACAGCTCAGAAGGGGGCTGCTGGAGCCCCCTCTGATATCCCAGCAGCGGGGATGGCAAAGCCCATCTCCAGGTACTGTGTGCAACCACCATAAACACCCATGCTCAGGCCTGGGCAGGCAGCAGGTATGAAGGCAGGCACACCTATTTGTGCTAAAGCTGCTCCAAGCTTGGACAGCCCTTCCCTGTGGCAGCAGAGTGCTGGCAGCAAGGAGGCTCTGCTCTGCAGAGCTGTGCTGCACACCTCTGCAGCCAGCAACAGGTCCCCAGCCCTGCTAGAGTCCCTTACAGCCAGCAGAGCAGCACATGCACAAATATGTGCTGAGCATATTTGCACATGCTCAGGCAGCAGTAAGACACCCCTTAGGGCATCACAGGCTCCTTCAGAGACCCAGAGTCCTGGAAGGAGCCAGAAATGAAGCCCTGCCGACCAGGAACCAAGGAAAAGAAGCCAGCAGATGGCAACAGCACCTCACATTGTTTCACAAGATTGATCAGATTTCGGATTGGGGAAGCCTTTCTCCAACATGTCCAAACCAGCAGCACCAGTCCAAACCACACTGGAAGAAATGAGACCTCAGATATCCCACAGAGGTCCTGAGCTCCTCTAGCAGATGAGCAGCCAGGCTCCCTTGCAGGGGCTGGAAACAACCAGCACCCACAGCACCAGGTGAGCAAAGCCCATTTGAAGCCACTGGAGCCCGTACCACAGGCAGCCTGTGCTCCAGCCAGGCATTGGGAACTCAGTCACTGAGTCACTCCAGACCCTTCCTGCTCCCAGAATTTTTAAGGAAATCCAGCATGAGCAAAAGGCACCAAGACCTTGGACGGAGGATGAAGCCCACATGAGCCAAGGCTGTTCACACAGACAACTTTATTTGCAGCTACCCAGCAGAGCTTTCAGAGCCCCAACACTGCAAGCCAAGGGCAAGCCCAGCTGAGGGATGGTCAAACAGTTGACTGTAGCTGTGCCTCTTGCAGAGCTTCCACAGCAGCCACGCAGCTGAGAGGCAGCAGGTTCAAGCACCAGCACATCACAATCTTCAAGATCTCCCAAGCACATACAGTGCTGGCCCAGCAGTAGAGCTACAAGGGGATGCTCTGTTTTCCACATTGACTCCAGGTCTCACCCATGGGCGTAAGGATCTCAAAGTCCATGCAGCAGTGACAGGAAAGTACCATCTTTCAAGGCCATTATCCTCCATGGACAGAGACATTTTCTTCATTAATATTTGAGCACAGTATTCCCAAGCCCCTCCAGTTGTCAAGCTGAGCTCCTCTGCATACTGCTCCCCTCACCTCTTCCCAACTTGCACTGTAGACAGTTTCCCTAGAAGTATTAGGCAATGAATAATTCCCACTTTTTGCCTCAAGCTTCCTTGCACGCCGCTGCACAGCACACCACAAGCTTACTGAACCACCTGCAGCATCATGGTAAGGAGTTCCTGTCTCTCAAGGAAGCTGGCTGCTGCAGGAGCAGCCACCGCAACCCAGACTCAGGCTGAGGTTCAAGGGCAAGCAGCCCATGTTTCTCCCTGCCCAGCAAAGGAAGGCCACATTTCCCTACAGAAGAGCTGGGTGTTATACACACCACTGCAGCCTAGTGCATCTCAGCCTCCAGCACAACTGTTATGTTCTGGTCCACTCCCAGTCTGGTTCAAGCTGATTAAGAAACATGAACATTGTTGATTATGATAGGTTTATAAAAATTTTTTTTTAATCACACAAAACTGAAGTTTGTGATGAAGACTAAGTTGACAGTTCCTCTTAAATACCAGTATGCATAAGACATTGCATTAGGCACTAGGCAGCAGCCAACATCAGTTAGAGTCTGGCAACGGAAGCCATTTTAATACCTCCCTTCATACTTTGTGGAATTACAGGCTTTTGCAATACATATTGTTTTCACTGACAAGTTATCCAAGGTTTTCCCCACCCCACCTCTGTACATCAGTAAACCATGTGTATTCACACTAGAGTAGGGTTAACAACATTAGTGGCATCACAACCATCAAAAAAAGGACAATTTTCTATACAAGATCTTTGCAAAAGTTGCAACAGGATTAGTGCATTACGACAGAACTGGAGATAGAAAAAAAAAAGAGTTGGCATGCTAGAGTCCAACACAAATAAAGACAACAGGCAGCTAGTTGTATGTACTATATTGACAAGATACTGATTGGTTACATGAAGAAACATACAATACAAAATACAGAAGAAACCAGTTTTGCTTCCCTCTGCCCCAACCCAGAATACTCATCATTGATTTGGTCAACAAGCGGCTGAAAAGCCAGAGTTTGTCACTATAATGCTACAGTTTAGTGGTTGTTCTAGGCATATCGTACTGGTATTAGCCTTAGCTTTTACATACGGGTAATTTTAAACAAGGTTGTCTAGTCTCAATATCCCTTTGTTTCCAATAGTGAACTACAGTACTGTGGGACCTGGGTGCTGCTGGCCCTCACCCGCAGGAAGGGGTGAGCTGGCTGGGCAGACACCAGGTCATGCATCCACCACCACCAGGAAGAGGGAAGAGCAGAAGTTCATATATTAAAAAAGTGACTTAAGACTTAGAATTGAATTAGTATTTGTACAGAAAGGTGCAGGTGGAAGAACTCCCTCCAGCCTATGATCAGAAAGGGATGGAGAAATCACAGCAGCCACCAGCAGCAGCCGCTCTACGGTAAGTGCGATTGTTAGCGTGGATTCCAGTCACGTCATTCGAGGGCTCCATCAGGCGGGAACGGCTGCTCAATTGCTGCAGCACTGGCTCCTGCTAGGCTGACTGCTCTCCTGAAGGTCAACCACCCGATTCCTACCTGGGCCACCAGGAGCATTCTGCGGTTCATTTTTTGGCAGTTTCTTGGCTAGAAAGAAACAAGATGTTAGTAGGCTCCTCTACAGAGGCCAACCTCCTCCCTACTGCAGACCACAGGCTGGGCTCAGCTCTGCTCTGGCCCAAGCCCTCACACCTCTTAAGGTGTTTGGGATCAGGCACTGCTAGCAGCACAAGTACAGCAAACCAACCCACTCCTAGTTCTGGCTGTCATCAACCCTGCTCCATCCTTACTCACCACCCCAGATAAAGGGAGAGAGGGAACAGGCCTTGCAAGGCAAAGGCTCCAAACACTCAGGGAGTGACTGTTCACAAAAGTACAGCAAACTGGTCATCTACTCCAATAAGAGCCTCCAGGCCCTGGATGACATGGGAGCTCCCATGGTTTCCAGTGGGCTGCACTGCTGGTACTCCGAGCTACTCCAGCCATCCCTCTGTACAAAAGCTGTTACCTATTGCCATGAAGATTTCATTCACATTCATCGCTGTCTTTGCTGACGTCTCCATGAAGAGCAAGCTGTTGTCATCTGCATATGTTTGTGCATCCTACAAACAATCACATTAGAGTGGTAAAGGCATCCTGCCAAGAGGAGGCCCAAGCAGGCTTCACACACTTGACTTGTTGGCAAACTAAACGCTGAAGAAACACTCTGTCCCACCCCAGGCCAGACATTCCTACCCCAGTCCCCTAACCCTGCCTGGCCAGGACAGCTGGGAGACATGCACTGCTGACAATACTGCATGGCTAGTGTCCCAGCAGCCAAGCTGGGGTACAGCAGCACAGACTGTTTGTGAGCCATTTGAGCCAAATGTAGACACAGCATGTCCCGAGCAGCACAACACCGTGTACTTTGGTTAGCTGGGAGAGTAATACACACTGTAAATGCACCACAAGCAATCCTGTGCAGAGGTCTGAGATAAAAGCTTCTCCTTGAAAGTCTGCCTTAGACAAGGTAAGAGCTGTGAAGAGTAGAGAACAAGCTGGGAATCATTCTTCACATGTCTTGTATCTAAAAGATGCTGTTTCATACACTGCTGAAGACAGCCCCAGATGAGTAAGGCACCAGAAGAGACTGAAGACAGAAGCTTGTGCTCTGTGGGCCTTATTCTCCACATTCGTCATAACTGTTACCAACAAGAGCTACAAGTGCTGTGAAAGGAGTGCATGGGAAAGGCAGGCTACAATTCACTTTAAGTGGCATCCTGGGGTCCTCAGCAGCATAAATCTTGGCTTCCACTGTCCCTCAAAGCATTTTGCACTTAGCCACCATATCCCCCACTTAAGCAAAAAACTGCTTTCCTGACTTGCTCAGGTAACAACTGATCTGGATTCCCACTCACCTGGAAGTCCACAGCTCTCTTGGTAGCAAGGTCTGCCTTGTTTCCTGCTAGTGCAATTACAATATTGGGGCTAGCCTGCCTCTGCAACTCTTTCACCCAGTTCTTGGCTCGTACAAATGTGTCCTGGAAGCAAACAGGAGGCAGCAGTCAGGAAGGGCAGCCTCTTACTAATCCACAGTGAAGATATGATTAGAACAAGTCTTTCCTGTAAGAAGTGTTCTGCCTCTACAGCACTTTGTAGCAGGATCCTTTATCAGCTTAGACAGCCTTGGTCAGAACTGAGGAAGAGGCCATTAGCAGTTTTCAAGAAACTCAGTACCTGCAGGCAGGCATCTGCAGGGACTCTGAACCCAGACACTCTCCCAGGGAACTGAGAAGTATCAGCTGCAAGCACAGATGCCTCCTCCCCAGCAAACACTCACAGCCCTACACAGTACTCACTGTGTTAGTGATGTCGTAGACAACAATGGCTGCCTGGGCACCTCGGTAATACATTGGCGCCAGGCTGTGATACCGCTCTTGCCCTGCTGTATCCCATATTTCAAACTTCACCGTTGTGTCATCCAGACAGACTGTCTGTGTTAGGAAGGCAGCTGAAAGAGAAGGTGCATATTTGCATTACCTCCAGCTGGAGAGCCCCTGCAGCAAGAGCCAGGAGCTTGGAGCAGTTCTGCTTTTGCATGGGAGTGAGCAGAAGCCCCAGACAGAGGCCAATGTGGTGCCACTTGCTGTAGAAGTTGCAGCTCTGCTGTATCAAGGTCTTTGCACATGGAAACCCAAGAGCTACCATGCAGCCAACAGGAAGATGGCCCTGAGAGCCCAGGCAGCAGACAGCCACTGGAACAGCAGCACTGCCAGTCCCTCCCCAGCCACCTCCTCTCACACATCATACACTACAGCTGCAACATCGTCAGGATTAGCTTTAGAGAGCACCACTGAAGTCAGCCCAGTTATACTGCACTCTCCAATTTAGTAACTGGTTATTTTCTTGTTCCAGTGAGCATAATACCATGCATTACAACTAGGATAAAGGCAACCAGCCTTGGATACAGGTTGGAGCAGAACAGCAGAGTGCCCACATGGCCCTCTGCAGCAAAGCATTAAGCCCTGCTTGCCCATAAGCTATACTTACTCCCTGCATGGGTTACTATAGGGACAAATCAAGCCTTTTCTCAGTACACACCTCCTCATATTACTGCCCAGAGACATGGGTGCTGACTGACCTTTGATTGGTAACACCATGCTAATGATTTCAAGGTAAAGAACTACCAGACCTGAAAGAGCTGTGGAAGTAGTTAACAGTATCATGCTAGAAACAGCCCCAAAATCCCAGGTCATGGTCTGAAAAGATAATTAAGGGCTATAAACCAAGCTGAAGGCCTCAGTTCTAATTAGAAGCAAGAATTCAAGCACTTGAAGTGAAGACACCTTAGAGGCAGACCACACAGTTGCCATAGCATTATTCTCTGCTGCACTGATCTTACACTAACAAATTGTACACCAAGAGTTAAAGCATTAGCTGCTTGACTGTGTAGCAAAAACCCCAGACCAGATTGAAATGGCCATTATTATTTCTGTTATCCCTCAACTACATTAGTGAGGCCAGCATATTTTAGCCATAGGAATTTGGAGTTGGCACTCACCTCCAATCGTGCTCTCCTGGTACTCATGGAACTGCCCCTTCACAAAGCGCAGAACAAGGCTGGACTTCCCCACTGCTGACTCTCCCAGGAGAACAAGTTTAAACTGGCAGATTTTGTTTCCAGCAGCTGGTCCATTCGGTCGAGCAGCTCCACCTCGACCTGCCATTGTGGCCTAAGTGCAGGGTTGCCAAGAGTTAAGGATGCTGCAGGTTCTGCAATGGGATCCACCTGGAGGCAGGTTGCAACTGGAAGAGGAGGTCAGAGTTAGTGACACACTCATGGACCAGCTGTACCAGTTCTATAGGGTGGGTTTGATCTGCAGCCACCATCAGCACAGGCAGGTGGTAAACTCCTTCCCACAGTGGAAAGTTATCAAGTGCATGCACCACAGTACTATTGGGCACTTTCTGTCCATCAGCAGCTCCTTCAGCAGAATCTTAAGTCTTCTGAGCCTCCTTGGAGAAGGGATATTGGTAAAACAAGCTTCCCTCCCCTCCAGCACTTCCACTGTGGGGATGTTACACACACCTTGCTAGGGTGAGGCAAGTAAAGAACAGCCAGCACACCAATTGGTGTTATTAGAGCTTCATCTGTTAAAACAACAATTACTCAGTTCATGGAGGTAACCGAGGTTGACCTTTAGCTCCTTCCTCCACTCCTGAGTTCACAAGGCAGCAACTTCAGACTATCAATGCCATACACAGATGTTTGAGTGCCACACATAAGCCATTACAGGAAACAGTTCTGTATGTCAGTCCTTCAGATCACAAGGCATTCAAAGGCAGTTTCTATATTCAGTCTTAGTTTAGAGGCACTCACACCAAGCCATTAAATACTGTATCTTAGAGCAGTCCTGAGGAAGGCCCTTGAATTGCCAGGCAAGCAGCCTGCCACAGGGAGCAAAGTCATTTGGTAGCAGCCACTCACTGGGTACAGGCTGCATATTCAGAGACTGAAAGCTACTACTCACCATCCCTGCTGCAAACAGATACTTACCACCAAACAAGAGCCTAAACAGCATGATCCAAATGCAGAGGCAACACCTAATGCTCGCCACTTCCCACACCCTGTCCCAGCTGCCTCAATGCCCTTATCCCACATCATTCCAGGTCATTAGGCTACTGGCCACATTCTTCCCAAGAAGTCTATTCAAATCCAGTTACGCTGAACGGCACAAACAGGTAGCATCACCCATGATCAGAGCTGCCATCACATCTCCCCAGCACCAAACCTCTAGAGCTGTGCAGAAACACAAAACCATTGCACAAACAGCATGACAAGCTGGTTTACATCCATAGTTAACCACAAGTGAAGTCTCAGTGCCTTCCTAACCATTTAGCTCAGCTGCATGCAGCAGAGAACGGGAGCACTTTCAAAGCACAGAGTTACACAGATTTAGGCATATTTCCTGTACTCATCACAACTCCCACTTCCTGTCAATAATAAATGTTACAACTGATTGCATCTGCTCAGTATTGCCGCTTTCTCTTCAACTCTCATAACCCAAGCTTCTTGTTGACAGAGACAACTGCAAAAAAAAATCCCCCGAAAGCCAATTTCTCCTTGTTCTGAGTGTACCCCCAGAGAAACTCTGCGTATGCTCTGAGTACATCCAGCGTTTACCCAGCAAATAGCAGATCCCCAAGAATAAGGTTAAAGCCAGTTGAAATGGGTCTGAACTGGAGCAGTGTGTCCTGTGAAGAAGGCTCAGGCCTGCCTCAGTACAGAGGCTTACTAAAGAAGAGTTTAAATACCTGCTTTCCAGAGCAAACCCTGTCCAGTTGTGACTGCTGTGAGGCTACTCAAGTTTAAACTCAATTCTATAGTTTGACAGGAAACCTACAGCCATTTCAGACCAAGAGATCATCCAGAGGGATAGCCCATTAGTGTCATCAGCTGGAGAACTTCTTCAGCTTTCAAAACACAAAAGCACTTGAACATACTCTGACCTAAAGACATTCAACCTCAAATTGTTTTGACCAGGAGGCAAGTAAGAAGCCTACTGTTAAGCCAGTACCATTCACTGAAGCTAGCAGGTAGGAAAGACACCATGAGGAGTAACTTCCCAGTGCAGTGAGATGTTTCAGTAGCCTGAGCTGTGAAGAAGCCATTGCTTTGAGTGGCCTGTCCAGTCTTGGGTTAAGTCAGTGAAGAAATTGCAATTCAGAGCTGGGTCCTTGCAAAGGCTAGTAACACTGTCAGGACCCCCACCTCTCCTTCCGAGAAAGGACAAACACTGTTTTGACAGGATGAGAAAGCTTGATAGGAAGCAAATTAGCAACTTGTTTTGCTGGACAGTGAGGAAGCAGCATTTTGCAGATCTGGCCAGGAGCAGCTTGGTTATCACCAGGTTTGCAAGGCACATCAGCAGCTCTACATCTCTACCAGCCTGAAACTTTCCACCTTTTAGAGTTTCTCCTCTAACCAGAGTTTGCAAGGGAACAGCTTTTGCTTGTTTAACCTTGTATTCATTTACCAGGGCAGTCTATCAGCAATATGTAAGCTCTGTTGCTGTTTCAGACTAACATTCTGCACATTAAACGCCACGTGAATCATGCCCCTACTGAGTTATGACCTCCTGAAATATGATAGGGGTGATCCCCAGAGCAAAACAAGGAAATGAGCCTGTTGACATCCTCAAGTCTTAGTGTAACCAGTATTTCACAGATCTTGATTCATTTTGCCATCTGGTTGTGCTATGTGAACTCAAACAAATTTAAGCAAGCATGTCTGTATGTCCAACTCATCATGGAGAACTACCGATCAGAGCAAGCAGTCAAGTAGCTAAAGCCTTTGGCCAGTTTTAATTATAGGGAACTTGATCATCATCTAAAGATGGTTTGAAGTTTGGCTGCAGGATTACATGACTTCACATCCACCTGAAGCTGCCAGATTTTCAGGATGTTTGGGTGGAATTTATGCAGTTCAGATGACCCTATTTACAGCCATGTCACTAAGGGTCTCAGGCTAAGAACATTCATGAGATCAGGATGACCAGCTTAGCACTTCTGCTGATGTTCATAACACCACCAAATAATTGAAGTGAACTACCAAAGCTGTAGACACCAAGAACTCTCCACTGCAAGAGGATCAGTTTGGCACCTTCTGCTAATGCCAACATCTTTGAGGATTTCTACATTCCTGTCAAACAGAACTCTACTCTGCTGAATGCAGAAGTAACAGGCAGCTTAACTACACAGCCTAGATCTGCACTAGATCAGCCCACACCAATCAGTGAACACTGGCTTGAGAAACAGGGAGTGCTTCCTGCTGTACAAAGCCATTTCTGATGCTCAGGGAGGCTGTTCATCCCCTCTTCCAGCAAAATGCATTGGGCACACACCCCTCCCTGCTCCCTGTGAGAACACTGGCACTGACACTCGAGCCATGGGTCAGTCAGACCAAAATAACTACAGCAATACTGAGCAGACAAATGAAAGCAGCTGAAGTTGCAGCTTGCCATACTAATCCAAGAAGTCAAGACCATGAGAAGGAAGGGTATGATAGGGTACTCGTGTAATTAAGATTAAGAAATGTTCGTTTTCCTACTAGCTTCTTGTAACTAGTAAAACTCAGCAGCTTGTGATATCACAAGATCCATAAAAAGGTACGTGCTGGTTTGTTTGCTTGCCCTACCCGTCTCCTGCTTACTGAAGTGCTTGCAGGAGCTCTGCATTACAGGAAAAAGTACCAATTTTTTTATGCAAACTCTTGGAAAAGTCTCTTTTGTTTTGAGATCAAAGACAAGTTTCAATACCTGATGCTGTCCAACAACCAAGAACTCTTAGGTCTCTCATTTTTGCAGTTTATGCTCCTCTCAACACCTCACCTGTTTGCCACTAGTTGTTGTAGGGGCTTGTACACTTCCATGAATACTGAATTCAAGAATTTGAGTGCCCTAAATGAAAAAGTGCATGCCAGCACTGCTGTATTCCCAGCCTACCCAAGAGCAAGGTAGTTCTCCAGAGCTGTTAGGATGCTCAAGAATAACACAAGAGCTGGTTTCAAACAAATCAGCCCAGTACAAGAATCTCAATCTCCACAGGGCCATTACTATGATATCCCCATGTTAACCCCTGCATGAGACAATTGCTTCCCAAGACTCCCTACCACAGGAAAGCTGCTAGTTTAAGGTGCCAGAAGTTACAGACTCTGAAGGCTGCTTCTGCTCTCAGCTATGCAAGAAGCCATTTCACTGGGGATTTGTTGGCTTAGAATCAAAATACTAAAGACAAAAGCCCCAGTGAAGTATTTATCTTGTTAAATAGCTGACAGCGTTACATGAATTCCTTGGCAAAGAAAGCCCTGAAGTTACTGAGTGGTTTTGCTTCACCTAACACTGAATGGGCAGCTAGCCACCACTAGCAGGAAGCTTGTGCTACCTTGCTCCCACTCAGAACTGTTAAGTCAGCTTTAGGACCCAGATTCACAAGCAACTTCCATGAGCAGGACTAGCAGCAAGTGTAGGACCTGCCAGAACAACACACAGACTCCACTAGCCCAGATTAGCATAGGATGGAGTGTCAACCTGATTTTCCAACACATTAATATGATTAATAAGAACAAACTTCAAAGCCTTACTGCAGTAGGGTCCACACTGCAGAGGAAGGAGTAGATCCAGCTCTTACCAGCAAGATGAACAAGGAAACAGACTTGAAGTACAGACCCCAGTCCTTCAGCCACATAAAGTCTGATCAGTTTTAATACTTCATCTTTCTACAGACAACAGGCACTTCCCCCCACAAAGTCTCTTGATCAGTAAGGCTATTATCTGGAGCTTCAGCAACAGCTCTAAATTGGGGAATTAGTTATTGCAGTTGTCAGGAGCTATGCTACAGCTTTAAAATGTAGATTTGCAGACCTAAATCAGCCAAGGCAGCAGTTCCAGAAGTACTACTATGGTTGTCACACTATCATAAGTTAAGGTCACAACTTCTCTGGAGAGTCTCATGACCAAGTCTCCCAAAGACTTGGGCACACTCATTTTAATTTAGAGGCAAAAAGTCAAATTACTTTTTGTTGGTAGATACAGTCCTGAACAAGCACAGTAGAATTTGTAACACCAGCTCCTTTTCATGCTTTTAACACATGCATCTGTTTCCTGACATCTGCAGAGCCATGGCCTCCAAAGCAGCCCCAGCAGCCAGCTGTTTTTCAAAGCAGCTTTTCAAAAACAATTATATCAGAGATTTCAAGGCCACTACCCTGCAGTTACCACTCAATCCAGCACAGATGCTATGCGCAGCTGAGCTAGCAGGACAGTGCAACATGCAGCTACCCCCAGCTGGGCAATCCAGGGCCAAGCCTGCAGAGGAGGCCTTTCCATCACTTCACAATGCAAGCTGAAGCCTGATCTTATGAAGGACAGTTGCCGAGCACAGTGAAATGGAGCCATCTTCCTTCAGTCATCTCTAAAGCTTTTTAAAGCTTCAAAGCAAGACAAACCCAAGAGGAGAAATCCCAAGGAAGGCCAACTTTCTGCTACTTCTCAGGGCCTCATGGCCCTACCAACAGGCTGCTGCTCAGTGCCAAGCACAAGTGGCCACACTGAAGATCTCATCTGAACAGACAGCTCTGTACCTGGACAAGATCATCCAAAGTTCAGATTGACTCAGAACACATTGTTACATACAGAAAGCTACTTACTGCTCAGTTTGAGACTAAATCTCATTTCCTAGGTGTCATCTGCTTGAACTAGGCAAGTCAGCTCTAAGACTGTTAGGAAACTATGAAGCCAGGAACACTTCTGCAACCTACAAAGCTGATCTGACTTCTCTGGAAGATGAGGCAAATATCACAGCCTGCATGACCGAGTCAAGAAGTCAAAGGGAGTTCTCAAGCTCCCTCAAGCTGCCTTACAGCCTGTTTAACCCCATACACATCCCCTCAGAAGGGTTTCCTAGGTTTATGTGGTTATCCTTTACCAGGAATTCTCAAAAACACCTCATGATGTGAAAAGATGTTACACTTACTGGTGCTACCTTGGAGCTACAGTTTTTTAATACTCACAGACAGCTGACTAGGTATCAGCAACAAGAGTTATTACCATGTTGGTCACACTGGCAGCACAAAGCAGTTGTATGCCCAAATCCAGTGGGGGTTTTAATTCTGCAGAATAGCATGACTAATTGCTATTAAAACTGCAGTTAGTGTCCTATTAGATCACCATAGCTGAACAGAGAAACAGACAGTGAGGCCAGGCTGAGGTGTAGTGCTTCTGCATATCAGGAAGACAACAGGGATAACACTAGAACTCGCATTCTAACCAGGGCCACCAAACCCTGAGTTGTGTTGACACGATAGCAAGTGAACTCACACAAGACCCAAGTGATGGAAGACCCAACAAACACAAGCTTTCAGCACTGCTTTGGTCAAGCTCTACTTACATAAGCTATGGAGACAATACACTTGCAAAGATTGCTTTAAAAAGAGTGGAATGAGAAGTGGCAGCTTTCTATGAAGTGTTATCAAGGCATGAATTGCAGCAAAAGACTTCTGTGGAAGAGTTTTGCATCCTCCTTCATTTCATACGAGCTTCTCATTAGCTGTAGGGAGCAAAGCCTCCATATTCCCTGTCCCCACATTAACTCCCTCCTGGAGGTCTTTCTTACCTACTATTAGTTATCCTTGATAGTGCAAGAACTTAGTCCTATTTCACAGAAGATGAGGCACAGCTAGGCTGAAGGAGAAACTCATGAGTACAGACTGGACCAACTACAAATTGAACAAATGCATCAAGTTTTTAATTCTGCAGGCTAGGTTCTTTTAACTCCTGTTCTTGATACTGTCCACTGCTCAGCATGCCCTCAAGACACAGCTTAATCTTGACCAGAAGTCCAGCAACACATGCCTTAAATAGCACCTACTGTTCTGTGAACAATAAGGCAAGATCATTAACAATGCAAAGCAGAAAATTGCCATCTTCACTGCAGAAGAGTCAGTGACCTTCATAATATCTTTTCCAGACTGCACAAAGATCTCTTGCCTCTAGCAGCTCCTTACTTGGAACTCTACCAAACAAAAGCAAACACAAAAACCAGGGTTTTCTTATCTGTTTATGTAGAACTACTCCAGCAGTTCATTCCTGTGCTCCAGGGGAGGAAAGCGTTCCTTTTAGGATTTAGATGAAGCTTTATTCTTCCCCAATACTGTCACTTCCAGGAAGGTTCATTGTTTCTGGCTAGCATTCAGAGTGTTTTCATAGTGTTACTCTGACAACTTCGCAGAACTTGCATAAGAGGACTTCAAACTTCATACCCCAAGGGAAGAAAACAGCTGACTCTGCCATTTCTACATTCTACCCTCTTTTAAGTATGCTGACTGAAATACTTTGGGCTACACCCACATCATTAGAAGTGTTCCCATTTCATTTCCTGTGTCTGAAAGTACTTGGCATTCTTGCCCCCTCCCTTTTCAGGGAGATGCCATGACCACCTATCTGCTAAACATGCACCGGTTTAGGAAGTTAGGATCACTATCAGGGCCTAGAGCAATTCTAGAGCTGATCCCTCCACAGATGCAGAAGAGCTTTGCTATAATGGAGATAATGTCACTTCTCATCACAACAATTAAGTTTGGCCAAGCACACAAAGTATGAATACATTGCTAGACAGTTTTGTTTCAGACACTGCCCAATCCATTATTGGTTTCATTAGTAAAGCAAATAGACCTAAACCCAACCCTGTTCATAGTAAAACTAGACAGATGTTTTATTTTACTATATTCATATCCATACATCAAGCGAGCCTTCCCCTTACTGCTCTCTAGTAACTTAAACCCTTCTTCAGGAGGCCCACTTCATCTTGCCTGCGTTGCTTAAACCCTTCTTCAGGAGCCCCACTTCATCGTGCCTGTGTCGCTCCCTCACCTGAAGGGGTATCAGCACCTACTTAAACAGCCTCGAGGGACCTACAGTGCCTGGCACTATCTTAAAACAAGTGTAATCTAGATTAGCCTATAGTATCTTAGAGGGAAAGATCGCCTCCAGAGGTAGATTTTTGCTATGAAAGTAGTTGATTGTTTGGGCATGCTGTTGAGAAGCCTGAGATGATTTCAGCACTGAGACCCAGTTACTGGATCCAAGCATTGCTTTTCTTAACTGTACAGGTCTATATAGACTTTTGCTTTATCTGCTCTCCTCACTCCAAGAGTGCTTTAAGACCAACGCTGTCTTGTAGCTGCCTACACACACTGTTCTGAATTCTTCACCCTTTTCAGTCACAGCTCTTTCCCCTTATTATCCAGTTAAGCTGAAAAAAATGTAAGATACTTCTAGAGCCAAAGCAGTAGCAAATGCTAATTGGATATTCCAAGAAAGTTCACTCAGACAGCATGGCATGTCAAGCCAATATGAATCAAAAGTATCTTTCTTTTTTTGGTCTCAACCAAGCCTCAGAGTCCTGCCTTCAGAGTAGGCTCAGGAGTCCTAACTTAGTGCAACACGGAATTGATGTCATGCTGTAAGCGGGGCAGCTCAAATATGTGTTGACCCACCACACAAAAAGCTATGAATAGTAGATGCAAGTTGTTCCACATAAGACTTAAAATAGTACCTCAATGTATTCTCTGCCCTCTGATTTCCTTACACGCTCAGAAACAGTCAAGGTCAGAACTCTGACAGCCATGTACAAAAGCAACAAGCTAAAGGTCAGCTGAAATCAGGTCAACACTGTATTTGGTCCCACTGCAGACCAGTTTACAGCGAGAGTCACAGTTACGTTAGCAGAGAGCAACTACGACTGCCGTGGCTCCTCACAGCCCCGACCCAGCCACAGGAGTTTTAGCAGCACCTTGAGCATTACCAGGAATAAGGTTCAAGCAGATTTCACAGGATTCAGCACTACAGACCCGCTGCTCAGAGTTACACCTGCACTATTAGCTTTTGTAGGATCACACACCGACTGTGCTCTTGTCTTAGGCACAATGGTCTCTCCCACTGCGCTGAAGATCCGAGGATGGCCTCGCACCAGAGCACATCTGGGTTTCCTTCCTAACAAGCTACAAAACTTCTTTCCAGACTTTGTGCCTCGTTCAAGAGCCTGCAGCACCACATATTTCGCTTCACAAATGCCCCCTGAGGGGCACAGGGCCTGTGTTTGTCACCGGCAGCAATCCAGAATAGTCTCCATTCCAGCAGAACCTATTTTCAGCAGATAAAGTCACATCCTTCATTTAGGCATTCTCTACTTGGGAACCTGGCTGGGCTTTCAGTCTTCTGGCATTTCTACACCCACCTCAGAAGCCAACTAGCTACACCAAAACATTATATCACTTCTGTCCTTACAGGTGCCACACCTTCCACAGATTCCACTTAACTTTCAAAGAGCCATCAGTAGGAGAGAGAGAAAGGAGTTGGGAAGGAGCGGCCAGGCAGACCCAGCACAGTGACAGCAGGCAGCGGCACTCGCTGCTGAGCCAGCCTTTCCCACTCGTGAAGGAACGCAGCCCGAAGGAGTGCCAGACCTGAGACTCCACGAGGCCGACGTGACGTTCTCCCCGAGTTTGAGATCGTCACCTTTGACGCGCCGGTCGCTCCCATCAGCACAGCTTCCCTTCCTGGCTCGGCTCTCCACG